GTGGTGTATGCCACACTACAGCTCCCTTGGGAGAGTGACGGGTCACTCTCATGTAACCTCGTTACACCTAGCCACATACCGTATTCTTCTTTAGGTGTGGTCACACCATGCCTATCTCGTGTGACACACACCCCTGTTACCAGGGTACGTGTAATCCCGTTACGTTATCGATATTGTGTTTGCCTACGTGGCTTGCCGTGGCAGCTGTTCCGGATCTAGATTGGCGCTATATAGAAAAATCTTGGCGAATTTTGTTTGTGATGTTAGACAGCAAATTAGACATGCCTTCCGCTGACCAATCACAAACAGACAAATGGACGAGTTGCTTATATTGCTTCTTAAGTGATATCTCCTCGAGGACTTGCGCGGAGAAACCGCGGTATCGAAGCAAATCTCTCCCATTTAATTAGTTTGCTTGGAATAGTAAATTGAAATCCCCACCAGACTTCGATTCATTATTTATAAATGATTTGAAAAATCTATAGGTTCCTCTAATGCCACTTACAAAGTGGCTCCGGTCTTGGCGCATCAATACAATTCGGCTAGTCGATACAAATCCTGCTCTAGGCAGAATCACATTTTTAATCCAGAATGAGCGATAAATACCGAGAAGGCGACTCTCAGCTAGAATTGACGACTGTAGAAGGACTAGATCCGGAAGGTCTTACGGATCGTCCACTCCGATTTAATAAAATGAATCTATCAGTGCTGCAGCATCATGCGGAGCAGTACTGCCCCTAGCTTTTGGCCAGAAAACTGATTCTTCTGAAATTGAATGACAGGGATGTCTTTTGGGATATAGTACAAAAATTTTGCCTGCTTGATGTGGTGGTGAACGCACTTTTGCGTCGCTCTGACTATCAGTTGTCGCATGAAAGTCGCGTGTTGATAATGTGAAACCTACAGATACAACATGCGTTGCGTTGCTGAAAGTTCTGGGAGCAATGAGATTTGTATTCTCATGCCGCTTTGGCGAAGCAATCAATTGCGTGTTTGTACAGTATCTTGGTTTATTATGGCAAAGACCCACATAAAAACCAACAGGTCGCGGTACATGATATCGTTTACTTCGAGTACCGAACACGAGGCATATGACACCCCTTCGGGTTGACACCAAGAGAGTGAAAGAATATCGCTATGTCTTGGTGACACAACATGTAAAAGTGGGAAGGTGTAACGGGGTTACACGTACCCAGAGTGTAACAGAGATACACGTACCCTTGTATGAAAAGGCGGGTCACACAAGATGGAGTGACCGTACAAAAGTGTGGATTACACAAGTTGGGGTAATCACACAATGGTGTGGCTACACCGTAACAAGAAGCCACTACGTGGCAGGACTGCCAGTAGCATTGCATATTAATTAGATTTCACTTTTTAATCGGAAAGCCCTAAGGTGTATGATATAGGCGGCTCTGCCGCAAAGTAATAATCAAATAAAGTTTCAATTTTGGACGGAAGAGCGTTTTTGCCATGATTAAGGTTTTTAAGTACTCTGGAGGTAGTGGATTGCGATCCGCTAAACTCATACTGGTTCTAGTAAGGAACGAAGGGCCGGTGACTTTAGCTTAGCTTCCTCGAAGCAAAGAGCTACGACAGTTCTGCTGCACTTGGTAGCACTATTAGTCAATCTATAATGAGTCGTTACGACTGATCTTCTGTGAGATAACAGCAAATCTCCTATTTGCACCAGAGCATGCAGAACGGGCTTAAAAAACTCATGTCGCTGCTTGGCGCCCTGAGGGCGTGCAACACCTTGTTTGGCAAGGACCTGGCCGCTCATGGTGAGTATTAAGACCTTCGAAGGTAAGATTGAAAAGAATCCCCCCCACTGGATGAGAGAGGCCGAGATGGCTATGGCATCTGAAAAACTCCAGAATGAGCAACACCGCTTGGCGCTAGCTATCTCCAGTCTCGGTGGTTAGTGCAAGAATGGGGATTAACTTGCGGTACTTCGGTTGAAGCGGCATTTCACTCCTGAGGGAGCTGAAGCTGCAGCTGTCACGAGTGTTCTCGCCGCCTAACCAGGCATATCGCGTGCGATTGCGTTTCATTGCCGCCCGACATGGAAAGAAAGAATTGGTGGACTTTGGCCAAGAGATGCGTGCTCTCATTACGGGAATGGCAGCAGATCCGCTCCCCGAGGCGGTCACAATGAACATCTCTAGTGGGAGTACGGAGTACCCACGCACTGGCGTTGCCAGAAATGGAAATTTTTCGCGTGCATCCGTCTTAATTGAAGAAGCGGTGAATATGGCATCAATGCCGATCTAACTTTAAGTCGGCACATTTTGGTCGGAATGCACACCCTCAGAGCTCGTCTAGCGGGCCTGGACCAATGGCACTCAGCTATACTGAGAAAGCGGGGGAAGAGCTTCGAGCTTCCGGGTATCGTTCCAACACCCGACGGTGTTTTGGCTGTAGAGACACCCGTCGCCTTCGTGGTTGTCCCCTGCACAAGGCACGTCAAGGTTCACTGTTTCGACGTGCCGCTTTTCACCAGTCTAGTTTGTCGCGGGGAGACGGCAACACCCAGTAGGCGCGGAAAACCGAGTTCTGTTGAGCTAGAGGGCAGCAGGGCCTACTAGAGTTCCGTGCTCTTGAAAACGAAACGTGTTTACAAGCCAGGCTTGCTGGCTGCGGAAGCGACCGTGAAGAGCTTTGAGAAGCAGTGGTAGATTCTGATCGACTCCGGGGCATCGAGCAATTATGCTCGATGCTTTACGATAGACGGAAACATCTGTATGCTGAGGCGCCGTCACTGTTCGCTTAACGATGGGATCATGTGTCACAGTTCTGAGGGTCACTGTTGACCTCGGTGTCAAGTTTCTAGACTTTGATAGCGCGGAACGCGATGTTTAGTCTCCGACTTGGATTGAAGGTATGACCTCACCGTTGGTATGGCACGGTTGGAACACCATGAACCATGGATCGATTGAAGGTCGAAGACCTATGGCGCTACGCGCACGTCTCCTGGTGGAGCTTTGATCAATCATGAACCCACCTCTGCCAGGAAGTAGAAGCAATATTGGCGCGGGCACTGGGCCGGGACGGTCAACGTGTTATAGATTGGAGTATCCGCGTTGTCGAACACCAAAAGTGTATTGGACAGGAGTACCGAGCGTGGCTGGCGGGCTGAGCGTGGAGTGACACGTAAACCACTGAGCGCTGTTCAAGTATTGACGTAGTCGCTGCATGCCATGCGTGGCATGGTCGTCCAAGGGCCGAGGCATCGAGGGTCAAAGCAGTTGCTGCATGCCAAGGGTGACATGGCTAGATGACGTCCGAGGCATCTTGGGCTAGACCCTTCAGATACGCGTGGAGTGGCACGTTATCCCTCGGACGAATACTGCGAAACTAGCTGCTCTTCGTCGGATGTTGTCAATAGTCGAGGTGGTCATTGTAAGACTAAACGAGAGGATCAACTTGTCGTCGCTTCTGGATAAAGCCATCCTGGAGGAAACCAAGAGGATGCTGAACGCACGAAGTGGATCGTCGATCCTCAAGAATCCCTCGGATCCGCACTATTCTTTGGTAAAGGAATTCCAAGATGTAGTCTCCAAAAACCCGTCGTCGGTCCTGCCTCCGGACCCAGGTGTGCGTCATGATATTGCCCTGGTTTCTGAAACCAAATACTGCGCAATATGCGAATGACCTCTACTCAAGGAGCAGTGACGCCATTTTCCGTGCGAAGCACGAAGCAGGAATGGTGCGTGAGAGTAAGTCTCCCCCCAAGTTTTGTGTCCGGAAGCCGAACGGCAAGCGGCGTATCGTTCACGCTTACAATAAGCTAAACGCTGCAACCATTCCGACACAGACAGCGAGGATCTTCTCTAGAATAATATGGATGGCTTCACAAAGTACAGCGCGCTCGACTTGGTCGATGGTTATTACCAATTGCTCATGAGAGCGAGCGAAATTTTGCTGACAGCGGTGAGTAATCCGGTCGGGATGCTCTGAGAGTGGCTGGAGATGCCTTTGAGACTGTCAATTGCACCAACAATATTCAATCACCTTGTGACGCAGTTGTTCAGGCCACACCGGGCGTATGCACAGAATACTTCGACGACATCTTCGTCCACAGTCGTTCGGGGCACGGGAAGACGGATGTAGTGAGCCACATCGTCCAATTGAGAGCGGGGCTCAAATGCATGCGCATGAATATGCTGTATGCTAATGCCAATAAGTGTATAATCGGCGCTAAAGAAATCCCTTTTCTAGAGTGCTTCATAGGGAGGCGTAGCCTTCCAGCGGATGCCGCTAAGGTCAAGGCCATTGTAGACTGGTCGGTTCCAAAGGATCAAAAGGACGTGCGCAAGTGGCTTGGCTTCGCTAGCTGCTTGCACAGGTACAGCGAGAACTACGCAGAAAAGACACGACCATTGTCTAATCTCCTTAAGAAGGATGCGGAATGGTATTGGGATATTGTGCGGCGAAATGCTTTTGACCGGGTCAATGGCAGCCTCCTGCATGCATCAATGCTGGCGTTGCCAGGCCCTGATCGTTCTTTCAGTGACGTCTGTGACGCTTCGGACTTTGCCAGCGGCTGTGCACTGCTGCAAGCAGACGCCGAGGGGCAAGATCGTGTAATCGCGTTCGAATCTCGTCAGCTCAAGGCTGCAGAGAAGAACAACCCAATTCACGACATAGAATTACTTGCGATGAAGGATGAACTTGTCAAGTTCAGGGTTTACCTGCTCTGTTCCAAAAGCCGTTCGCGATCATGCATCACTTTGCTCTGCGACTCAGTCGCCTCTTTCCTTGCAGATGATGGTTAGTTGGCTGTCCGACTCAAGTATCATGAGGACTTTGCGTTTCGTAAAATCATTAAGCCTTACTATATGCAGTCTGAGCTCTTGTGCGCGAACCTCTGACCAAATGGTGGATAAACACAAGATTGCTGAGTTACGGCAACTGGTGGAGTTGCACTAGCTGTATAACCGTGTGAGGAGGAGTTTTGACTATGTACATATACCGCACGCTATCGAATCTTTGTATGTGTGTTAGATGACATTACATGACTTTGCCACAACGTCAACGCTCGAAGCTGATATCTGTAGGCACCAACTTTGGAATCCTAGTGAGAATCTGTACTCGACAAATTTGAAAAGGTTGTCCGACTCGTGCTTTTTTCTTGAAAAGATATATATTTGTTATCTTCGAGATTGTTAATCACGTATTAAAATCGATGTATTTCTCGATAAAGTTCGTCGCAATCCAAAGATACATTGCTAGATACTCGATTTGGCAATGATTGCCCATACCAACCGCATACCCGTCATCAATAGCATGCGTCGATTCTCCTCTCGAATTACTGACTCATTATCGCCGCTGTTATCGTCGGAGCAAGCCGAGAAACTTTGGCAGAGTAATGAACGACGTGTGCGCTTTTTGGACGCATCCTGGTACCTGGACAAAAGCCGCGACGCTAAGGGCGAGTTTTTTCTAGAGCGACTCCCAGGTGCTCAATTTTTTGATATCGAGCAAATTTCCGACAAGTCGACAACATTGCCGCACATGCTACCAGACCGTGAGTGATTGCGACATTATGGTATATACACACAATAATTGAACTCTCGACTATCATTAGCGGAAACATTTGAGGATGCTATGATGGACCTTGGTGTGGAGAACGATGACACGGTGATTGTTTATGGAGGCAAGCACTGTTTCAGGTAGGAAGTCAAAGCCATTTGATGTATCGAACAAATCTGAAACGCGCGTGTTAAATAGCCCGGCGCGTTGCTGGTGGACATTTAAGTTCTTTGGTCATAGCAGCGTGCACATACTCAACGGTGAGCTGCCTTGTATGGAACATTAAGCACGGCTAGGTTTTCTGATGTTTTTCTCTGAATAGGTGGTATCACCAAGTGGAAGTGCGAAAAACGAAAGATCGAGACGGATGAGCCTCAAACTGTTCTCGCTGGTAGTCGTTACAAGGCTCAACTTGATAAAGATCTTGTGGTAACGTGGGAAGAAGTGCTGAAAAAGATTGATACGGACACGCAGATTGTCGACGCTCGCGGAGCCGCACGATTCTATGCAAAGGAGCCTGTACGTTCACAGCTGAATCATAAACAATTCTTAATTCAATTGTCGCTTTAGGAACCGCGTCCGGGAATGCGTGGTGGACACATCCCAGGGTCCGTCAACGTTCCTTTCAGCACCCTTTTAAATCCAACTGACTTCTCGGTGGGTTGCAAACGAAAATGATGAAAACATGTATCTAACATGACGGAATGATGTAAGCACAGCTTTTCCGTGATCTGGATGATATTAAGCGTGCCTTTGCTGAAGCAAGTATGTGCATCCATTGAGTATACCAACTTATAAAGGAATTACTGATCTATGGTCTACAGATGTGAAGACGGACGAAAGTAGCCCGATTATCACGAGGTACCTTTTTGTAACATATTGATATACTAATTGTAATCCCTTGATTGACGCTTCTATTTTCATGTAGCTGTGGCTCCGGAGTGACCGCAAGCGTATTATCGTTTGGACTGCACTTGATTGGCAAGCCGCTAGACAAGTGAGTATCCAGATTGACGCATGCTATATTTGTATGAACGATCATTGTTTGCACTTGTGTAGGGCTCCCGTGTATGACGGATCGTGGTCGGAGTGGGGCCAACGTAGCGATCTTCCTCTGGAAACTTAACACGAAAATTGCATCAGTCCAGTTTGGGTTGTGACAGTGTTTTTGTTATGGTGCTGAAGATCCACGTGGAATTAAGCAGAATTTCGTCTGGTACATCGCTTGATACTAAAAACAATTCACAGCATCAATGTAGCCCGTTTGCCTGATCTCGATAGTTGATAAGAAATCAAGATACCATTTTGCAAATTTGCTGAAAAATATTTCTTGCGTGTTCTTTTTTTCGTCGAACAATATATTACAAAAGTAGAAAACAATCTTTCGACACATTAGAATGCTAAAATTTCTTTTTTAACGCCTTGACCTTCTTAGCGTGCTTTGCAGAATTTAAATGTCCGTTATATTTCTTCGTGTCGCGAAATGTGAGCCCACAGGGCTGGCAGATTAGCCTCAAAGATGGCGCTGAGGATGCTCCTCGTTTGATTTTTGCTATTTCCTGTAATAATAACCAGATTAGTCAGCTGCTCGAATCAAGGTGAAAATTATACCTTTTTCATGTCGTTGCTATTGCACAAATCGTTTGCTTTTGGTTTTTTATAAGCTTGCTGATTCGAATTTTCTTCGTCATAGCTCTTGTCTAGGGCGAAGAAATAGTAGTGTGATCCTGCTGTAGAGGGCGGTTCTCCTCGAAACGATGCTGGGTGTGTACGCTGCGCCTCATAACCTGAATAGATGTCTGCATTGAATGCCTCGGTGCTGTTTCGTTCCGCATAGTGTACCGCGTAAGCAATGACTTCATGTAATCCTTCGTGACGGCTTCTCATACATACCGTCTCAATTGAAAGCCACTGGCTGCTGCCTGTTCCTGAATTTTCCATCGCCTGTAAAACGGCGTGTTACGTAGCGAAACTAGCACATGCCCGCGATCAGGATGCAAGAATTCCCGCGTTGCATAGAAAAAATTCTTCAACAGCTTTTGGTTGTTGGTCACATCCTCTTCAGTACCACCTCCAAGATGAGGGAAGTTGAACACAATCATGTGAAAAGGATGTGCCTCATCCAACCATTTTTCCTTCTTTAAATTTGTCGCATCCACATCAAAATGCACTTCAGCCTAATTGCAAAATTGATAAACAGTCAAAAGTAGGATCATCAATACGAATGCTTGATCATTATTGCCCATACACCAGCCGTATCAAGAGCATCACAATTTAATAGTGCATTCGGATACTTGTCCTTGAGTTCCAGCTCTGAATCGTAACACGTGGCGACAAGATTTTTCCCACCCTGACGAACACCCAGTTAGCATCAGTGACATAAATCTTGACAAATTACTGTCGAACGATGATTGCTAGCACATACAAGAAACACAGCTAGGGACAGAGAGAAAGAAAAATCTCCATCGCCTACGACCAAGATGCGCTGGCTGTCACTGAATGGACCTATATTTTTGGGGTTCGGATTGGACGACGCTGCCAACGAGAAAATCGCGTTGGTCTGAGACTTGGCCGCACGAATCTGAAGTGTGGTGGCTTTACGATTTTTGGTTGTTTGTTTCTATCAACCATTAATCGCATAGGTAAGCACAAGAAGAAATACGTCGACCAGTACTATATTTACTTTGTCATATCGGCGGCTCTTCTTCTGGGACTTTGCCATGACAACCAGCCAACTGGGAGTAAAGTTTACTAATTTTGGCGTTAAAGTTATTTTATAAACACACCGGATATTGAACTGTTTTTAGCCAAAGATAAAGACGAGCATTTTGTACTTTACGCGTCAAATCCTTTGAAAGTGAAAATGTTCGCAGCTTGGCTTCGAAATCCATGGTGAGAAGCCTAATCAAAGATCCCCGATTGACACATAAAAACTATATATGTACTTATCGTTGAGGTGCGCAAGACAAAGCACGTTGAGTCTTGGCACGATATTATTGCGTAAAAACTTGCAATGATGGCGTTAAAATGCTACGTGTGCGTTTCTAGTTTCTGTTCAACTGAGCACAAGATGCAAGACGGCGATACAAGGATAGCTAAAGGTCCATCTGTCTTCGTTTTCACTGGTACTATTGTCTAATCTGCTTTATCTTTTGAACAAGTAATTCGCTTACCTTATCTCTCATACCCAGGTGATATGATGATAGTCATAGCTAAGTACATTTGTATGAGCTGGATTTATTGACTCGATTTACTGAGTAAAAATGACTGCATACCAGGCGACAAGACAAGCTCCAGTTCCAGATCGCTGTGTTCCACACACATCATTGTCCTGAGCGACGAGGTATTAAACGCCATTTGACTACAAGAATAGCTAGTATGTCCTAATATCTTAATCCAAACACTTACCAATGGTTGACGATGTGCCCGACAATTGACTTTTACATCGAAACCTACGTTGACTTCAATCTATGACACATTGGGGTCAACAATACACAAATCACAAAAAAGTGGAATAACGAGGTACATTTTTGCATTTGGTATGATGATATATTTGATCCGATTTAATCGATCTCAAATTTGACACGCCATTTAACGCTTCCTCATTGGTCATGAAATCACGGGGGATGACGACAGAAGTCAGAATTTAGACCTTCCTCTTCATCTAATCTTCTTCTAAACATGACGGCACAAGAGTGCGAGGTCGCGGAGCCCAATGATGTCGTCAATTCTTCACCTGTGAGTGAAAAAGAAAAAAATCCGTTTGTATATGAGACGCCTGGCTTTTTCGCCGACGACTCGAGGGTGCCGAAGTGGATTCAAGGCCTCGCGACCGATCTCTTCGGCTTTGTGACCATCCACTACAATTTCTGGCCCCTGCCCTTCCTCGTGCTCTTTTACTACCTTTATACAATCGGATATGGTTACATCCCCGTGGCACTTGTTGCACTCTACCTGCCATCGTTTCTCAGCGGTGCACAAAAAACTGCCACGGGGAATCCCTGGCCATCATTCCGTTCCCATCACATCTGGGGACTCAGCGCCAAATTTCTGGGCACGAAAGTCATCAGGGAGCAAGCGCTTGATCCCAGCAAAAAATACATCTTTGGCTACCACCCTCACGGTATCATTGTGCTTTCGCGTGTTTCCACGTACGGTGGTAACTGGGAAAAAGTATTTCCGGGCATTCCAACTCGGGGTAAAACACTTTCTCTGCTAAATGATAATTGTAAATACAAACTGTGACTGACATGGCCCGAATTGTAACAGTTTTGGGCGCATCAACCATGTTTTACGTTCCATTGGGTCGTGAAATGTGCTTGTGGCTTGGCGGCGTCAATGCCTCGCGCTCTACAGCTGACAAGGTCTTAAACGGCGGCATCAGCGTTGCCGTATACCCCGGAGGCGTACCTGAAATCTTTAAAACTGACCCCAAGTCCAAGGTGAACGAACTCGTGTTAAAGAAACGACTTGGATTTGTTAAACTAGCCATGCGCCACGGCGCAGAATTGGTGCCAAGCTTTGTTTTCGGGGAGAAATGGCTTTACAAGTGAGTAAACAATAGAAGCTGATATATAGCCGTACGATCTCATAATGTATTGTGTTTGGGCAGCATGTGGAATCCTCCTCAAGGTGTCATTGACTTTTTTCGCAAAACGCTCAAGATTCCCATGATAATATTCTGGGGTAGGTTCATGTGGATACCTAAACAACCACCAAAAGGAAAGCGCTTTGGTGTCGTTTATGGTAAGCCTATTCCGACCAAGTTGACAGACAATCCTTCCGAGGACGAGATCGGCGCGGTGCACACGCTGTATGTTGCTGAAATCGAGCGAATCTTTGCACAGTATAAGAAAGAATTTGGTTACGACGACGACGAAGTTTTGGTTATTAACTAAGGACTGGAGTATCACCGTTGCAGATGTGTTTTTTAATACGAGTCAATGATACTGACCTCGCTCTGTCTGTGAATTAAAAGTTTGGTTTTATCATAATAATTATGAATATGTAAACGTCAACAGTACCCAACCAAGAATCTAAAGATACAAAATCGATATAAAAGTCAGCAGACGTGACAACAGAAGTGAGCCCAACTTCTCGTCAATTCGACCGTGACGGGACCCAAGCCCATAATCAATGGATAAATGCTACTTTATCAGACCAATGAGCAAGATTATATCATCCATTATACAGCAGAAACCGGGTATCACAATTTCTATCTTCTTGTGCTCCTGCATAAGCTGATATTCACTTTAAAATGAAAAGATGAGACACTCACTCAACTCAGCTTATATTGGATTTCGACTCGTCCAATAGTAATCAAGAAACAACACCGCAGCGGAACATTGTAGTATCTTCTTTAGGGCCGAGAAGGTATAGCCGTGAAACAGTAATATATAAAATGTAGCAGCTTTCAACTGAGCCAGTTTCATGTCGATTTTCAAGAGGCAGGAATCAAGCCTCGTGAAGTATACATTTATGCAGAAACCCGAAAAACTCATTTAGAAGGCTTATCAGAAATCCATTGAGTTCCCTACTCACTCGTTTTGCTCAGCATCATTAGTACGTATTTTAACACGTATTGTCATCTAGGATATTATTAACCTCACAGACAAATATTATTACTTAAAAGCCAGGTTTTGGTTTCCGATACCAGAGGCCACGCCTTCCTCGCGCAAACTGATACCCTCGTCCTTAGTCACATGCATTGCAAAGCAAAACGCATGCATGCTGAGCAAATGCACCGACGCTTTAGACGCCCTGCACGAGAATTCGGAATTCGTCGTTGTTTGGGAGCGAGGAAAACTTGTCAAACAAAGTTCTTGCGCAAGGTCTGGGTGTAAAGACCCTCACCGCACTTGGAAGCATCTTTGACGCAGTAGCGCACTATCTCGTTATCTTGTGAAAAGTTTGGTGAACCGGACGTTGTCGTTGATCACGTCTCGGGGTCCTATTCCAAACTGCCTACTGTCGCGTACTCTGCGCTGGATAGCTGAGTAGTTCAAGAGCCAGCTAGATGACATGTGATAGACAGGATTTTTCTCTATTGTAGGTTTCAGTACTGAATGGTTTTGATGTCAAATCAAGAATGAAATAGCGCTGAGGTTAGCAGACAAGCCTCTTTACAGTATGTGCATTGCCGTCTTCGATCAATTGACCGCGGGGCGGCCAGGTCGGTTGAGTGTCGTTGATCCGGAATACGCGATGATTAAGATCAGAGCCTGAATTCCGATCGGCGAGATTGGCCTGGGGTGAGCTGGTCTGGTTGACAGGGAGCTGCTAAGTCCAAATCTTGAGTCGCTTCAATCGCTTGAGCTATTTTGTAAGAAGCTATGAAATGTTAAAGTGACGAGTGGCTAGGAAACTACCTCAGTAAAAGTCAAAGTGATACCTTTTGATGGTTCAAAATCAAATCTGTTACACGAGTTTCCGCACGGTGGTGAAATCGGTGAAAATTATAGCAAAGTAACTAAGGCCAAATTTTATTCACCATGAGAAGGCCTTAAACTTTACTTTGTAGCGCCGTTCGGAGTACCAAATGTAAGGAACAAAGTCGTGAAGACCACCTGAACTGGCGATTGCTCTTGTCGGCTGTCTTCCATCGAACACTCATCTGTCGCGGTTGGATTAGATAATGTGAATTGTTACTGTGCAGAATGTACTCAACATGCTCGATAACAATTTCACAGGCTTCCCACAAATCGCACGCGTATATTATTGACCAGAGTGATGTTGCGGCATGTTAGCCGTGCAACAAAGAACAGAGACATAAGCTGACTCATCGATTGCTGAGCTACAATGTGAGTGTACAGTCAGAGATCCAGTTCGGCTTATCGCTCCTATCGCTGATGCATTTACGAATTCTAGAATTCTCCATCGTCGATGCGAACTGATAGAAGACGAAATGCTGTTTGATCTAAAAGTCGATAACGTTTGCGCAAATTTTCTCGCAGTTTCTGCAATCTCACAGCTGGATCTGCCCCTCGCTGGCGTTTTGCGAATGTACATTTATCGAATACGGATTGCCGGAGAATTAAGCGTCATCACGAAGACAAAGCGCTGACTGCAGGATCGTCGGAAGCAAGCACACATGACACGCTAAGCTAAGATTGTGAGCATGCTCTTTGACCAAAATATCAGCAAGGATAGCTGTAACATATCAAGTATTTCCACAATTTGCGTCATCTCCCTGGCTTGTGGTCGAAGCGATGTGGTTGGTCACGACAGTGAAGTCAATGGGTTCCAACACAAAATCAGCAGCGGGGTTGCCGTAGCTCTTTGCTGGGAAGAAGCTAAGCTATCGTCGTCGACCTTACATTCTTTACAGGAACCAGTATGAGTATAGCAGATTGCAATCCGCTGCCTCCAAGAGTACATAAAACCCAAGCTAAGGTAAATAAATTCAAAGTTAAGACTGTATTTAAAGTTTAAGTTGCGGCATAGCCGCCAATATCTAAAACTTTACGTATCAGTCGCAATGCAGATTACTAATACGCTGCTTTTCCTTATTAATATAGTATTACCTAAGTAATATAGTAAAACCTAAATTAAATGAAAATCTTGCCGGGTAGTGGCTTCTTGTTACGGTGTAGCCACACCATGTGTGATTGCACCAACTTGTGTAATTCACGCCTATGTATGTCACACCATCTTGCTATCCGCCCTTTAATACAAACGTACATGTAATCCCGTTACACTGTCCCTCATAAAATCGTGAATATCCACAATTTACGCCTCGTACAAGGCTCACGTGTCTGAGACACCGTTATGTTTTTAGAAACAATCTTCAACATTCTCCGCTCAATGATCCCAGTATTTATGACCCGCAAAACACCGAGCCTAGCTGGTTCCGAGGGCGCGCTCACGGACAAAGCCCTTTTTCTTCTTCTGCTCATCTCCAGAAAGAACGTTTGCGGCTTCACGGGTAGCACTTCCCAAGCCCTCGGCAACCGAGCGCGACACACTGCGCCCGTCCCGGGCGATGGATTTTCTCGTCGAGGAGTTGGAGGGAGTCGAATACAAGCTGGATACTCCTTTACCAGCTTGGGAAGATAACGATGATGAGGTGCGTTAGCGGCGCGACGTGAGCCCAGCTCATACCTCGCGGACACCGTGTCCGTCGGAATCCGGGGAAAGTGGTATTGTCACAATCGCCTCAACGAAATACAGCAGCAGCAGTTAGAGGCTACCCACAGCGTGGCTCTTCTTCGCTGGTATCCACGTTCCAAACTAGACCCTCATGTGAGATACAGTTTCCGCTCGGCGGATCCCGCTACTGAAGCGAAAGACGCGACCACTCGATCGTTAGGTGTGAATGTAGTCGGGCCTCCGGCCACTTCACAAGCTGAACTTGATCAGCGGAAAGCTCCGCGAGCTCGTTTTTTGTTTGTACCCCAAGAGATCTCAATTGCTCGGCACTGCGCTCGACTTCGAGCTCAAACAGGAGGTGCTCCTGTTCCCGCAATTTGATAAATTCCTGTGGCGCTCGCCCCTGGAGAAACCGCAGCAGATGACGATGAGCTCTCTGAGCGATGGGTCCAGCGGAACCGGGAATTTTTTTCGCTATCTATCTTACAGCGATGCTACAAGGAAGTGGCAGTGCGCGTTGAGCGCCATCTTAGATTTAAGTTTGCCAAACTCAAGGCGCAATGCTGATTTTTTGCGTATTGTCGCCCTGCGACATATGGAACTTTCCATAACGCTCACACGAGTTCTGTTGTTTTTCACACGGGTGAGTCTACGACCGTAGACTCACCCGTCAGCTCAAAGCCATAACTTGAGCTCAGCTCATGGCCCTCCGACTTCCCGGGCTACTGCCGAGAAGCGCGATGCGCACTACGACACGAAGCGCTACGATCCTTCTGATCGTAATCGTCTACGACGTCTGGACATTTTTGCTGAAGTGGCACCTCAAACTCTCACGAGTCCTCGGCGTTTGGGTATCTCTGCCACTTCACAAGATATTGGGTTGGACCCTGTCGATGACGTCGACCCACAAGGCGTTCCACTTGATAGTGGACGCTATCATTTTCATTGAGAAGAGTCGGCAGTGGACGGTGACTCACGATGATCTTCGAGCGTTAGAGGACGTAGTTTGTCGTCATCGGCATTCTGCCGAGCATCTTTCCGAGGTCGCCTACCGCTCTGCGGAAGACTTCATAGGCTGGAGCACTTTGTGCACCGCATCAGTGAGTATTGCGCTCTTTCGAAGCGGCACACGAAAACGTCAATTTGTGCGACGGTGGATCGCCTTGCGCCGTTGGAAACGGGAATTGTTGCACTCCGTGCTCAGAAACAGTTGCTGGTTTATCTTCTAAGTGGCCGAGCGCATTTGGGCGCCGCCCTGACGCCAACGTTTCCGCAATCACTTGCGCGGGATCCCGGTACGGCTTAAGCAAGCCCACATAAAAATACCGAGTGTGTGCGCATCTTTCTAGAAAGGTTCAGCAAATACACAAGGCTTCGCTTGGCTACGACCTAAAGAGTTCCAACAAACCGTGGACTGAGTTTTGTCTTAAACGAGCAGAGACCTCAGGAAAAAAGAGTCGCAGTGCGTAACGACGCAAGACCTGTGAAGATCAGAAACGGCTTTGAGCCAAGCAGGTGCTCCCTGAACTTGACTAATGCATACTTCATCACAAGCAATTTTTTGTCGTGGGCTCGGTAGCTCCTCTTCGCAGCCTTAAGCTGGCGAGATTCGAGTGCGATCACACGATTTCCCACTCGGTGTCTGCTTGCAGCAGTGCACAGCCGATGGCAAAGTTCGAAGCGTCACAGACAAGACGATCGGGGTCTGCCAACGTCAGTATTGGTGCATGAAGGAGGCTGTCTTTGACCCTGTCAAAGGCCTTCCGATGCTCGGTGTCCCAACACCATTCCTATCCTTCTTTAGGAGATT